TCAGGGCAGCCGGGTTCTCCTTTACCCGTTTTCATGGTTGAGAAAATATGATCAATTGCGTTGAGAGACCAGTTTACCAGATCCATCATTTTGGTTTTGGAGGAAAATGCAGAGAGAGGCTCCGAGATAGTTTGACAGAGACGATACAAGACATAGAGCAGTAGCAGGGCAGATAAGGGTAGGAGGGGAGGAAAGGAGCAAGGGAAAAAGCGTCCGCCTTCTTCGAGAGCCAAGTGTGAAAAAATTGTCCCTGATATCCTCTCTTGTGAACTGGATGTTTCTATTCACAGAGTTGAGATGGTCAGTGAAACTTTCAACTTCCCCCTTCCTGATGGTGACCCAGGTATCGTCCACATACCTGAACCAATGTCTTGGTGAGTGGCCTCTGAAAGTTGTTAGGGCTCTACTCTCCATCTCTTCCATATACAGGTTAGCTACAATGGGAGATACTGGAGATCCCATGGCACAGCCGTGTTTTTGCCTGTAGAAACCGTCGTTATTTTGGAATTAGGTGGTGTTCAGACATAGGTCAAGATGGCCACACAGCTGTTCGGAGGAGAGGTTGGTCCTTTCTGTCAGGTTCTCATCAAGCAGTAGTTTTCTCTTTACTGCTTGCACTGCATCTCCAGTAGGGATGTAAGTGAAAAGTTACATTGTAAGACACCATAGTTTCCTTAGCCTCAAGTATGATCTGACTCATTTTGGTGGTGAAATCCATTGAGTTTCAAATATGGTGTGTGTCAGGTAACTTTCTCTGTTAGATAAGACTGTAAAAAATGCTTTTAGTTCGTACCTGTTTCCTAACACACAAAGAATTAAAATAAAGATTAAATAAAGATCTGATCAAATAAAGAATTAAATATGAGATCTCAAGTTTTAACCCTCGTACAGGTCTAGGTGACCCCCGGCAACACCTAGACCCAATATGTCTTTGTGTGCGTGTCTGTGTGTGTGCGTGTGCATGTTCCTGTACTGCATGACTTGTGCCAACTTTTCCTCATATTCCTTAATACTCATATTCTGGGACAAGATGAAAATCATTGCAAGGACAAACGGTGTGTACAAAAATGTGAAGGACTGCACAAGGGTTGAAAGTTTTACTTGCAAGCAAGGAGTGCAGAACAATGGTTACATTCAGAACTGCACTGAGAAACTCCTCAGTGCTCAAAGCTTAAATACAGCTTTTTTTACACACATATCAATGGTCAGCACCTTAACCCTTTACAGCCATGTGGTGTTCATGCGCCACATCTGAACGCTGATCGGCAAAGGCTGCTCCAAACAAAGAGTAACAGTATCAGTAACATACACCATCCTGTTATGTAATACATAAGCATGGACACCTTTCTTCAGTATTTCTCCTTTTAGTACAGCATTTAAAAACAGTATAAATTGATATGGAAACTTAATACAATGAATATATTGTAAATATTGAATAAATGTATTTACAATATCTTAACAGAGTGGAGTGCCCCACCAATTAGATGATGGTAGCAAGGTGTTTAACCTAGAAACCTGGAACCTCCCCATCAGGACAGTAGAACTGATGAAGCCTCTTGGATGAGAGGCGAAACATCTTTACTTGCAGCAATTTACTTGAGGTGAGTCCAGTTGCCTACTTTTTAAAACTGCTTTTATAATTTTCCTATAATTAACTTATAATGATAAAAATCACACACGATTAGTAGCAGAACAATGCCACCTATCTTTGATTATCCGCATTGCAGATGTCATTGTGAACTACTATACTGTAGATGTGTGGAAATCTGTTAACAATATCCATCCATCAACTGTCCTAACCGGGATTCGATCTTGCACAGGAGGTGAACCCTGGGGTTCCACACCAATAACAGAGACACTGCCTCTGTGACAAAGCGCCACTTGTTAACAATATAATTTATCTAAACAATATTAAACACAGCCATAAAGCTCAGACTTAAGTTCTAAATGTAAAATAAATATAAAACCCATAAACACACACACACATATATATATATATATATATAGTCAAATGAAATTTGACTTAAAGCTAAAAAAAGATTGGTGAAACAAACTCATAAAGCTAAAAAAAGATTGGTGAAACAAACTCAAAATACAGTTAGTGCTTATAAAAATATATTTTTGTATTCTACTTAATTCAGAGTTTCAGAAGAATTGAAGCAAACATTTTTCTAAACGCTAGCTTTATTGGTAATGATAATCAATACTGTCATGTATACAGTCTAACAGGAGAAAGTTTGAGTTTTAACATGGTAAGAAAAGGAAATGTTCTTACCTGTTAGCAAACTTGAAAGCACTTGCACAAATATGTTGCGGAGGATGAAAACTTGAGTCATGGACATCTTTTTACTTACTTAATGAATTGATACAATGAGAACAACTGGTATTTTATAAATATAATAGTATGCATTAAGCCCCTGTGTAACTTTATCAGCAGCGTCTCCATAACATTGCGCTTGTCTTTAATGCAGAAAGCATGGTCTCCAAGTGGCGAAGCAGCTTTTATTGCCTCAATAGAGAGAGAGCATATTACGCAGCGTGGGCTCGGTGCCTGGAAACAATCTGTCGCAATAAATCCATATTTCAAGTTGGACTGTTGCAATTGTCTGTTAAATGGAGCTTTTTTTTTTCTTCGAAGACGAAGGCTCTTCTTCTGTTTCCTCACTGGCTCTGTTACCCTGTGCAAAGACACTTTCCAAAGACATTTGTTTTCGGTGACTGAGGCAAGCATCTTGACATGTATCAGGTGTGAGTCACAGACAGATGTGGTGGTGAGAATCCGGTAATTTTTCAAAATAAAGCATCGTTCAGAATCGGATCATAAATAAAACGGAACTAATCACAATTATGCATTCTTACCTTGCTGGCCGGTACATGTTGACCCACGGACCAGTGCCCGTCCGCGGCCCGGGGTTTAGTGTCCACTGCATTAGAGCATTATTATTATTATATTGTTTTCTTCTAGGCTATATATTTGTTTAGATCTGTGAAAATAACAACATAACATAGATTCAGGCAAATCTGGACACCTTTCAGTAATTAGAAAATGCAATAAAATGTAAACAAAATTAATTTCTATATTGAAATTACTCTTTGATCCATATAGAGAAAATTATTTGCTTTATTATTTTGTTTTGTTGTTTTACTAAAATGCTTGTTTTTATTTCTAAAATCATTACTGCCATCGTTTACTAATGCTTTCATGAGAATTACCCACACAGTGTGGGAAATCAAAGAGTCACAAGAGGCACTACAGAATTTCAGCATTGCTTATAAATATAATTTATTAATTGTTTTAAAAATTCTTTCTTACACTTTGTACAGAGAACAATTAGATGAGATAGAGAGGCGAGCATTCAGCAAGCTTGGACGAGAGTCATGAAGCGTGCCAGAGTTACTGGAGCTAAACTGGAGCGACACCCCACACTATAGTTGAAACCAAAATAAAACCACTTCTGGTCGTCAACTTAAATGTACTTACAAGAATAGCTCTAGTTGAAGACTTCTATCATGGTAACCGATGCCAATTTTGCATAGTAAGACACAGCTTTTACAAAAGAAGGAACATAAATAATCATCCCAAAGAATTCAAAACATACAAACTACTATCTAAGTGTACTCCTATCCTTATGTCCCCTAGATTTGCCAAATATGTCTGACAGTACACAACTATACACACTGTAGATAAAAAATATTTTTATATACTCCGAGGTCCTCACACTACTCTCTCATAAAGGCCAGCGTGTCCTTGTGGTCTCTGCTGGAAATTCTCCTTTCCATCAATATGAAATCCAGATTGAGTGTTTGCAGAACCTTACACACACACAAACACACAACCTTACTCAGATGTTAATGAGTTTTGCCTTTGCCAGGTTTGAAAGAAACTCTGGTGTTAACAGCAGTTTGATTGCAGTTTTTTTTAAATTGTTGCTCAAGGCTCTCTTAGGTTATAGGTTATAGGTATAGGTTATAGAAAAGAGTCAGACCATCTGTGTGGTTCTGTCTGATTCAGTTCTCAAAATGTATTTTTAATTGACAAGTTATGATCAAGTATTTTCTAAGAAGCTTAATAAGGTGTTTCTTCCTCAAAACCTACACTGACGTGGTTTTCAGCTCTCAGTGAATTCTATCTGGTTACAATAAAGTAAAAATGTCTTTTATTGTTGACAGATGCAGACACCTATAGTAAAGTTCAAAATTCTCACATTTCTTTCCCCATCAACTACACTGAGAAAATAAAAGGCAACTAACTGTATAACAGCTGTGACTCCACTCAGCTCTCCATTATAACAAAACAGTAAATGATGTGAAAACACACAAAAAATGTAAATAATAATAATGATGAGCATGGTGACTATGCATTTACGTTCCGGAGCTGACAGTAAAGAAATATTGTTTGTCGATAAAAGGCCACTAGAGGGCACTGGTGACCAGTGGAGCGTAGTTGTTGATCAATCTGCCTGGTGGCAGCAGGCAGCCACTGACATCTTTATATATAGTCTTAATGAATGATTTCACCTGCGTTTAATACTGTCTGTCACATTAGTCTCTAAATAACTATGATCATCCCTCTTCATCTATTTCCTTCTTTTTTTCTTCCTGTCCAGAAACAAGACCCAACGTCTGTGTGAGTTATGGCCATTTTTCCTGGCCTGCGTCAACACCTGCCTCAGTGAAGTCAAACAGCATCATGTTAACGGACATTTGTTTTGGGTTTGAGGGAATGCTTGTGGAGGAAACAAAAAGGCATTTAAATGTTAGGACTTGGCTCAATTAGTACATTTACTAATAAAAGTGTCACCATTTGGAAAGGCAAAAAGGCCAAAGTGTTCAGAAAGAAAAAAAAAATCCTCTAGGTCCTGTTTCTCATCAGGCTCTTCGATCCACAGTCACTGTGTCACAAATACTGTTTGCAGGCAATGATCCACACATATGGACAGCAGAATACATAGAGTGTTCCCTAGGAAACGATATGTAAAAAAAGTAACTGTACTGGAGGAGTGACTCCTTCATCTCCTCCTCTCTCTCTCTCTCTCTCTTATTATCTGTTTTCCATGTTTTTCTCTCCCATCTTCACCCACTGTGTTTACATCCTCCTCTCCTATTGTAATCTCTTTATCTTGCCTTCTGTGTGGACCTTTGTCCTAATACAGTGCCTCGAACTCATTGTGTCTGTTTCCTGTGTAATCACTTTAGCCTCTCTGCTTTTAATTATTCTCTTCCATTGTTTTAAAGGCCAGACCCTGGACTTCCCTGGACTTTCCTT